GCCGAAACCGGTTTGGCTCAGTGGATAGAGCGTCGGCCTGCGGACTGAAAGGTCCCAGGTTCGATTCCGGTCAAGGGCATGTACCTGGGTTGCGGGCACATCCCCAGTAGGAGATGTGCAGGAGGCAGCTGATCGATGTCTTTCTCTCATCGATGTTTCTAACTCTCTATCTCTCTCCCTTCCTCTCTGTAAAAAATCAATAAAATTTATTTTAAAAAAAAAATGACCAAGACTAGCAGCCACTAGCAAATAATCAGTATTTCCCAAAGTCACATCTGCAGAACACTACTGCATATTAATAAGTGTTACTTGAAGAAGGGGCTTACAAAACTTGAGAATCATCAGGTAAAGTTCTTTGCTCTAAGTTGCCTCAGAGTCCTTAACATACTCATGTACACTGCAAATCCCCCACAGAAAAGCAGCACTTTCCAAACTTACTTGTCCAAAGAATTTTTTTTTCAAGAGTCCCATAGAATGCTCTTTGAGAAATTCTCCTTTAGATAATATAGTTTTATACAAAGATCTCAATCCTTTTAGAATCCTTGGGAAGGCCAGGGTGGGGGGAAGGAGGAGGAGGAGACATTTTTTGAGGGAATAGAAGCATGTGTGCTAAAAAAAATCCCAGATCATATCAACTCATATATTAAGGTATTTGATGCCACTCATTTGGTTCAGATAGCAAAAAGTATGCATTCTATCTGGTTTCTCTTTTCACCAAGTCTACCTGGAAGATCAGAGTCCATTGCAGCTGTCGCCAACCCGTGGTCCGCGGACCACTGGTGGCCCGCGAGGTCCGAAAGGCTGGTGACCGCTACATTAGAGTAAACAACCCTAGGTGTCTGGGATAAGTAGCTCTTTTTCCTGACACTCTCAAACTCCACGAGCCGTCATAATACCTTTATCATAAGTTAACTCTTCTGAAAGCACGCAACAATGGAATGAATTACCCAGATAGTACTGTGCTGCTGCCCGGTTGGTATAAAGAACAGCATTCAAATCAGGGTCTGCACATTTTTTCTTTAAGCCTTCAGTATACGAAATCACAGCTTTTTCATAGTCTTTTTCTTTAAAGTATTCATTGCCCTCATCTTTATAGGTCTTGGCCTGTTCTGCAAAGAAAACAAAAAATAATCAAAATACCTTATTTTTTTAAAGGCTCAAGATAAAAATATTCTAAATCATGCAACAATGACATGTAATAAACCAAACAGAAGAAACTAAAAGGGAAAGAAAACTCAAAAATTAATCCTATAAAACTGGGTATTAACATGGAAGAATAGTCATTTGTACGTACTGCTACAATCAATTCCAAATATTTTACAAGGGAGATTATTAAGTGCTTACCAACAAAGAAGCATACAAGAAAAAGGCGTGCTTACCCGAGCTCCTAAAGAACTTTCTCTTTAGTTACTGAAGAAATGGGGAGGGGGGAATTATACTTCCCCCCGTTTTGCTTTCTGTTCTTTTACTCCCTCGAATACAAATTCCCTCCTCACCCTAGTAAGAGCCTACACACTTGTTAAGACTCAGTTCCAGTTTCTGGTCCGTTGTGAGCCCACTCCTACCTCTCTGCCCTCAGTGCTCCAGCAGCATTTACACACAGGTTTTGCCCTGATTCTTTAGGACAATCTGGCTACCCACTGGCTCACGGCCTTAAAGGGCTGTCTTCTTCATCCCGGTATCCCTAATGCCTAGCACTTAGTAGGTATCTAAAAAACTGTGTGGAATAAACAGTGACAAGTTGTCTCCGACTAACTACTACTTGTTATAAATCAGAACGACTCACCCTTGACCTCAATTCTATGGAGACACAAGACAAACAGAGTCATGGAAGATACCTTCTGGAGGTCGCTCGTCATCAAAAATAATTGACTGGAGGCAAGCCAGGTCCGGGTTCTCCTTGGGATCAATTTCTGACGGCGCTTTCTTCATAAACAGGATGGCTAGCTAGTAAGCACGTAAAATGATGCTCAACATCAGGAATTAGAGAAATTAAAATAAACATGAAATTGGTAAAAATAAAGTTACATAATATCCAGATATGAAAAAAGGGCACTCTAATAGTAAATTAAAGAGCAAATTAGCATGCACTTTGTGGATACATTGTGACCTAACAATATTCTTTTAAGAATTTATCCTACCTTACATAGTTGCTATGAGGTCAAGAGGGGTAACAAATTTAGAGAAATAAAATGGGAAATGTGCTTTGTAAGCCATACCAGTGACATATTTAAGGAATGGCTCTCATATTTACCTATTTGCTCCTCTGGTGTCCTCACACACACATTTTTTTTCTTGCAAGGTGCTTTTGTTCTTATTAGCCCTATAAATTATATCCTTTAAGCTCCCCAAAGAAAGGAACTATGTAGCTCTTCTTCACAGTGCAGTGCCTAACACACAGATAAAGTCAGGTCTTACTTAGTGCCTGGCACAGAGTATTAAACGCTGAATGGAGGGCAGTGCCTAACACACAGATAAAGTCAGGTCTTACTTATCTCTATGATGCCAGTGCCTGGCACAGAGTATTAAACGCTGAATGGAGAAAATGTATTCCTCCAGAAATTAGAAGACTGGGTTTCTAGTCCAGGTCCTGGCATTAAAGAAAGGGGCCCTCTCTGGGCTTATACAAATTGAGGGCACTGGCTAGCTCAAAAAATCTTTAAAGTTCTACACCCCTCTTTTTTTTTTTTTTTTTAATTGATGTCAGAGAGGAAGGAAGAGGGAGAGAGAGAGAAACATCAATGATGAGAGTGAACCATTGATCGGCTGCCTCCTGCACGCCCCACACTGGGGATCGAGTCCG